TCACGTCCCTCTATCACGCGCCAATTTCTTCCTCGTTATTTAAAACGTGCCTTCTATCGTTTGGCGGGAGACAACGACGACGATGATGATGATGGTGGTGATGATGATGATTGCGTCATTTGTGACGTCACTAGCGACGGTGACGATGGTGATGATGATGAGGATGATGAAAACGTTGCCGTTGTAATAGTATAGTTGCATTTTCATAAAAAAAGTGGTAGTAGTAGTAGTAGTAGTGGTAGTGGTAGTAGTAACAGCAGCAGCTTCAACAGCAGCAGCAGTAGTGGTGGTAGTGGTGGTAGCAGTGGTGCCGGTTTTAGCGTGGAAATAAATATTGCATGTCATGTGACTCGGTGACCGTCAGAGGAGAATGATGAAGTTGTTATTGGTGTGTCTGGCGAATAAAAACAAAAGTGACATGACTTAATATAATATAGATGTGTGTGTTTGTGCGTGTGTGTTTGTGCGTGTGTGTTTGTGCGTGTGTGTTTGTGCGTGTGTGTGTGTCGGTGTGTCTGTTTGTGAAATTCGTTCAGAGGGGAGAAGCTTATGCTAGTTGCTTTTTGATTGAATTTAACAGCGAAATAGAAAATTGACGAGATGTCCAGAGAAACATGATAATGATGATGATGACGACAACGACGATGATGATGATGATGACAAAAATGATAAAGATGATGATGATGACGTTAATGAGGTGATTGTGATGTTTTATTATGGTCAAGTGAAACTCACACTTTCTCTCTCTCTCTCTCTGTCTTCCTCTCTCTCTCTCTTTCTCTCTCTCTCTCTTTACTGCAAATGAAGCGCTGCATAATTGATTATACTCATTCTCTTTTAATGTTTTCTATCTATCTATCTATCTATATACTTAAATATGTATGTGTGTATCTTTATGTCAGTATGTAAGTATAAATATATGTGTATGTGTGTTTATATGTGTATGTGTGTGTATATCTGTGTGTGTGTGTGTGTGTGTGTGTGTGTGTGTGTATGTGTGTGTGTAATTTTTGCCACAGTATGCTAAAATGCAAGTGTAGTTGCAGTGTATAAGCACATTTAATTAATTTTATTCTTTTTTCATGATGATGTGTAGGTAATTAAGTTTGCGAGTATGACTTTGTTTGATGACTGGTTTGTATGTATGTGTGTGTGTGTGTGTGTATGTATGTGGGTGTGTGTGTGTGTATGTGTGAGTGTGTTCGCTAAATGTTTTTGCCATCCCATCTGATGATGATGACGTTCAGTTGGATTTCTTGCTGCTAACTATGATAGTAATCAATGTCTATTTATGCACTTAACTTAATATGTGTGTGTGTGTGTGTGTGTGTGTGTGTGTGTGTGTGTGAGTTTGCCTGTATGTGTGTATATGTGTGTTTAATATTATATTGATTTTCACAATTTTTTTGATTAAATTTATTATGACTATTATTATTGTTTTTATTATTATTAGTAGTATTATTATGATGATTATTGTTATTATTATTAATTATTAATTATTATTATTAATGTTAAAATTACTTAAATTCGAGCATAGTGTGTCAGATTGCATTATGTAGAAAGAGTTGGTGAGAAATTGAATTAGCGGACTACCAACATTGTCATATGTGTGTGCGAATGTGTATGTGCGTGTGTGTGCGTGCGTGTGTGTGTATGTTTGCGTACGTGTTTGTATGTGTACATACACACACACATACATACAGCTGGGCCACAGTATCCTATCATGTGGGATGAGTTCAAGAAAACAAGCAAGTCATTGGCATTCAGCCCCGAATGATTACATATGTAGATCGTTCCAAAAAGCAGATATATCTGCCATTAAAGAACCAGCAGGCTTATTATCTGATGTTAATAAAGGCCTAACCTTAACCTTTCACCTTAGTGCCCTAGTCCCAGGGTTACTGGGGTGTGACATTGGTCGATAGGTACATCAATTATAGGTCTATGGAGCCAGGATCTGAAGCGATGAAAGCTGCTGATTTTAAAAGAGCTAAATACACGAATCCCAACGAC